GAAGTGTCCTGTTGCCCCAGGGCCAGGACGTCCATCCCACCCCTGTCACCCTGTCCTCTCTGTCCTTGGCAGCTGCTCAACATGTCCTGGGAGCTGAGCGAGCTCAAGCGGAACCTGAAGGAGACCACAGCAGCCATCGCCACGGACCCCCCGTACGTGGAGGGCGCCTGGGCAGAGCCCACCTTCACGTCCACCGAGGCGGCCATCCAGTCCATGCTGGAGTGTCTGAAGAACAACGAGCTGGGCCGAGCTCTGCGGCACATCAGGGAGTGCAGGTGACCCGGGGGCACGGGACTCAGGGTGGTTAACGCTCAGCTGCTGACCCAGCCTGCGGGGAAAGGCCGGTGGGGGGGGTGTCTGCTCTGTACAGAAGGGCCTGGAGACCCCTTTGGACAGCTCTGCTCGGTCACACGGGGCCACTGTGAGCCAGAAGCAGCTCGACAGCAGTGAGGTTTGTTGTATGGCCTCGTGGCAAGGAGCTGTGCTGCAATTGCAAAGGCACACGGTTCGAGGCCACCAGCTGCTCCCCGGGAGGACGGGCAGTCTCCTCCCATGGGATTAACTGCCTCTGAAAACCCGCAGGAGGGTCAGCTATGGGAGTTCTGACTCTACGGTACACAGCAACAACAATATTATAAGGAACTCTGGTAGCATGGTGATTAAGCTACTAGCCAAATGGTTGTTGTTCAAAACCACCCAGCTGCTCCCACGGCAAGTGGCCTGGTGGTCAGCTCCTGCAGACAGCTCAGGCCAGGAGGAAGGGGGGACAGCCCTGCCCCGTCACGAGGGGTCGCTGCACGTCAGAACCGACAGGCCATAACAAGTTTGGGCTCCGCTTTTCCATTTAGCACTCTCTCTGGGAGCTCTGCTGGCCCACTGGTTAGAGGTCATGCTAGTGAACCAAAGGCAGCAGTTCAAATCCACCTGCCGGCAGTTCGAATCCGCCAGCTGCTCCTCAGGAGAAGGACGGGCAGTCTTCCTTGGGAGTCACTGCCTGGAAATCTGCTGGCGGGTCAGCCACAGCTTGACTCCAGGTCCTGGCACACGAGGACACTTCCGTGGGGGGTTACATGTGGTATGAGTTACCTCAGTGACCCGGCACCCCCGCCACGGAGCAAGTTCTGACTCACCATGGCCCTGCAGGACCGATAGCTGCCCAGGGGACCCCAAAGCTGGTGTCTGTATAGAAGGGACTCCCTCACCTGGCTGTTGGTCAGCCCCCCCCCGCCTGTTGGTCGGCAGCCACCTGCACTTAACAGCTGCACCACCAGGACCTCATCACTCTGAAAAGAGAAGCGCTGTTCCTGCGCTACCGAGGCCCCTTGGTGCCCACCCTTAGGAGTCAGCAGGGACCCCAGCGCCCACCCTCAAGGGTCAGCGAGGCCCCTTGGTGCCCACCCCCAGCAGTCAGCGAGGCCCCTTGGCACCCACCCTTGGGGGTCAGTGGGAACCCCTGGCACCCACCCTTGGGGGTCAGCAGGGACCCCAGCGCCCACCCTCAAGGGTCAGCGAGGCCCCTTGGTGCCCACCCCCAGCGGTCAGCGAGGCCCCTTGGTGCCCACCCTCGGGGGTCAGTGGGAACCCCTGCCACCCACCCTTGGGAGTCAGCAGGGACCCCTGAAGCCCACCCTTCGGGGTCAGTGGGGAGCCCTGGTGCCCACCCTCACCCTCGGGAGTCAGCGGTGACCCCTGGTGCCCACCCTCAGGGGTCAGTGGGGACCCTCGGGGCCAGCGGCTGCTAAACCACTCTCGCCTTTCACTTTCCTTCTCTTTTTTCTCTCCTTTCTTCTCTCTCCCCCTCTCGCCCACAGGAGTCTGTGGCCCAATGACATCTTCGGCAGCAGCTCCGACGACGAGGTGCAGACCCTCCTGAACATCTACTTCCGACACCAGACCCTGGGCCAGACGGGGACCTACGCGCTGGTGGGCTCGGACCGCAGCCTGGCGGAGATCTGCACCAAGCTGATGGAGCTCAACACGGAGATCCGGGACATGATCCGCCGGGCCCAGAGCTACCGCGTCCTCACGGCCTCCCTCCCAGGCTCCAGTGTGTCCGGCACGAGTCTCTGACAGTAGCCCCCCGGCCCCCGGGGGCTCCAGGCTGGGCGTGCTGCCATGCCGGGGTGACAGCCCCCGGTGTCTTCTCGCTCCTCGGCAGGCTGGGCCGCAGTGTCCTCCCTGTCGGGCCCTGCAGGGCCTGGTGTGGGGATGACAGCCCAACCCCCACTGTGTAGCAATACTCCGAACCGAGGGCAGTGGAGAACCTTCTAGAATGGACTCGGCTCCGCCCGCTCATCCGGTGGCCATTTCCTGGGCAGAACTGCATCTCACTCCCCAAGAAGCAGCGACTCCCGTTGCATACCAAAGCCGGTGACACTGAACTTTCTAGAAACCGTTTGAGACTGGCAGAAGTGCAATGTTTTCTCCATGGAGGAAAAAGCAAACAAAAATATTTTCTATTATGAAACTTGTACATTCTTTGCCTCCCTTCCCCACACCCCGCTCATTTTCTCCTTTTTCTTGGTGGGCTGAGAAAGGGGCAGGCAAGATGAAGCTGGCCATGGCAGAATGAAAGGCCAGAGGGCGCAAGCTGACAGCCTGTGTGCAAGGGACAGTGGTGGCTGAGACCTCCCACACACGCCCCGGGGGACCATTGCAGGATCCACTGTGTGTGAAGGACACGGCCCTCGGGGGACCAGCGCCAGATCCACTGTGTGGGAAGGACAGTGGTGACTGAGGCCACCCGCACACGCCCCTCGGGGGACCAGCACCAGATCCACACGAACTCCTTCGGTCGCTGGGCTACTGTTCCAGAAGCTCTGGAACTCTCCGTCGGAGTCTGTTCTTGGGACAGGAGCACCAAAGAAGAATCCAGATGGACCTCTTCATTTCCTTCCTTTTTTAATATATCTTGGCTGCTTTTTCTAGAAAGTTGCTTTTATGAGCCTATTTATACTCTACGAGGAGGAGTGTGAATTTTAACCAGCTCTGCCATTTTGTAGACAAACCCGGAAGGCTTCACATTACGATGTCCATGTCTGCTGACCATGCCCTGCCTTGCATTTTAATGTAGCCACTTAGGTAGCCACATTATCACCATAAAGGTAACCAAGAAAAAGAACAAACTCAATTCCAAATTGTCACTTTGTCCCTTGCAAAGGCCCTGTTGTATCTGTGATGTGTGTATGTGAAAGCCGTGTGCGACCCACTCCTTCGGCCAAAGGCTGCCCCATGTTGGATGTGTGCATGGGAACACGGCCACAAGCATATTCAGACTGTATCTCGCTAACTTATTCACTCTGTAAATACATTGAACGTTTTTGTGTTGTAATTTCAGGTGATAATCTATTCAGAACTCCTTTAGACTAAGAAAAAGTGTCATAATATATAATATATTGACCATGGATGTCATTTCTGGTTCTTGAAGAGTTTTGTTTCAACACAAACGAGTGGGTGGGCATGGCTTGCTGGGGGTGACAACCCCAAGGGGTGCTGTTTGGATGTACTTTGGGATCATGTGGCTTCACGGCCCGGTGGCCATGGGGAATGGGTGGTGGTGACGTGGTTGGATACCATTGGGTGGATTCTGATTGCTAATAATCTCACGTCGCTGAATAGAAATGCCTTTTATATAAGGGTTCAAAGGTCTCCCATTTTCATGGGACCAGATTGCCAGGTGTTTCTGTCATAGATCCTCTTGGTGTGTTTGAACCATTGACCTTTCAGTTAGCAGCCAAGCACTAGCCATTGCATCCCTGAAGCCCCGTAGTCACAAGGCAGTGTTGTCATCACCAGATGGTTTTGGTTCAGTTCCAGCTCATCCACACCCCCCTAAAGGGCTCTGGGGATGCACAGTAACGCAGCGTGCTGCCAAGCCCAAGGTGTGTGGTTTGAGTCCACCAGCTGCTCCGCAGGAGAAGGCTGGGCAGTTCCCTGCCATGTGACTTACATCGTCTGCAAACCCGCTGTGGAGAGCCAGCCGTGTCGGTTCTGACCCAATGGGCCTCAGCAACAGAAAGCACGCGGCCCAGCCCTGCCCCTCAGTCACTCCGTGTGTGAGTTACGGGGCATCATGGGGGCACCTCAGATTCTTCATCTAAGAAGAAGCTTGTTTGTGTGGAGGTTTCCCTGCTCTCACTCCCTCTGAATAAATGGGGTCAGAAGACAGGTAGAAGGAGGGCCCTGCCCAAGAGGGGCTGACCCCGTGGGTCCCGGGGACACAGAGGGTGTGCTGCTCCCAACCTGTTGCCATCTATGCTCCATGACATCAGGGCCAGACCTGCTTGTGCCAGCCTCCCGTCCACGCCCGCCCGTGCCAGCCTCCCATCCACGCCTGCCCGTCCACGCTCACCCGTGCCAACCTCCCGTCCACGCCTGCCCGTGCCAACCTCCCGTCCACGCCTGCCCGTGCCAGCCCCTTGTGCCGAGTGGAGCACCCATGGTTCCCTGGGCTGGAATCCGCCGGGGCAGCAAATCCCCAGGTCTTTGTCCTGCGGCCATCAGGTGAGTGCAAAGGGCCAGCCTTTCCCTTAGCAGCCAAGCACTGACCATGGAGCCGCTTGGACTCCTTACCTCTCCATTGTCGTTGGGCACTCTGGGGCATTTTGACAGTTACCTCACTTAGAGGAGCGGACTGTCCTCTGTACCACCAAAGGTCCCCCTTTAGCCCCTAAGACAGACAGACAACCCTCTTGTCAATGAGTCATTTCCAGCTGATAGCAGCCCTATGTTGACAGAGCAGTGCTGTCCCGCAGGTGGGACCCATAGACAGGCATCCCTACAGAACAAGGTAGAGGCCCAGCGCTTCTGCCAGGGCTGCCGGTGGAGTCAAACCACCAACCTTTCAGTGACAGCTGAGTGCTTACCCAGTGCACCAGGGCTTGTGAGGAAGCCAGTGACTGGAGGGAAATGAGGGGTTAAGTATCCAGGAGGGGGGTGACCCCTGGGGGACTTGGGCTTTCCTGAGATGAGGGGTCGGCAGATTTAAGGGAGCAGAGAGGAGATGCTTTCATTGAAAGGCTCCCACTGACTGCTGTGTGTTGTCAGATGCCACTGAAGTCAAGTTCAGCTCACAGGGACACTCTGAACAACGGATCAAAGCCCTGTCCTATCCTGTACCGTCCTCATCGTCACTGACACACTCATGCCCATTGCTGATGTCACCGTGTCAGTCCGTCTCACTGGGGTCCTCCTCTCCTTCACTGACCCTCCATCTTTCGAGCATAATGTCCCTTTTGAAGAAATAGCCCCACCTAGCTACACGTCCCAAATAGAAAAGATGAAGCTTCAGCATCTTGGCCTCCAAAGTGCAGTCTGCCTACATTTTTTTCCCAAACATATCTGTTTGTTCTTTTGGCAGTCCACGGAAAACTCAGTACTGTTCTCCAGCACAAAGGTGACATCAGGATTGAAGGATGACTCATAACAATCTGCATTATACAGGTGACACGACTTTGCTTGCTGAAAGTGAAGAGGATGTGAAATGCTTGCTGCAGAAGAGCAAGCACTGCAGCCTTCAATAAGGATTACATCTCAACATCAAGAAAGCAAAGGTCCTCACCACAGGACCGACCTTATGACGGATGCAAAAAGGATTGAAGCTGCTAATGATTTCAACTTGCTTGGCTCAACAATCAACACTGTTGGCACTAGCAGTCAGGAAATCAGGAGACGTGTTACATCGGGCAAGTCTGCTGTCAGGGACCTCTCTAAAATGCTAAGGAGCAATGGTAATAGTTTGAAGACTAAGGTGCACCTGATTCAAGCCCCAATCCTCTCAATTGCCTGCTACACATCAGAGAGATAGACAATGAACAAGGATGACAGAAGAAACATTGATGTCTAATACTGAAAAAATGTATATACACTCACTATGAGATATGTAGCTCATAAAAATACATATAAATATACAATATATTTTAATATATAATAAATATATATATATACACACACACACTCAATGTTTTATGTCCATATATATAAATAAAAACACTGGAAACAATGAGAATCCTAGAACACTTAATTGCGTTCATGCAATACTTACACCTGCACCAAGAGGCTATTGTGGAACAGAGCACAAGAACACGACATGGTTTAAAATTTTAAAAGGTGTGCATCAGGGCTGTATCATTTTCCCTTACCTATTTAATCTGTATATTGAGCAAATCATTTGGGAAGGTGGACTCTGTGCAGAAGAATGCGGCCTCAGGATTGGAGGGAGACTCATCAACAGCCTGCGTTATCAAGTTAACACAGTGTTGCTGAAAATGAGGGCATGACGCCTCTGCTGAAGATCAGAGAATACAGTCTTGCAACTCAATGTCAAGACAACGAAAATTCTCACCACTGGACCAACAGGCAACATCTTTGATCTTTTGTTTTCCTCCCTCAAGCCTGCATCTCTTTTGTAACAACAACAATAAATCCCACTGCCACTGAGTCCTAGCAGCACTCCCGAGGCTGTCCATCTTTCCCTGAGGATTCAGCACCCAAACACGCACTGTCAGAGGGGTGAGGAGGAGGGAGGGAACTTGGATTACATTTAAAAACATAGGCTCTAGACTAAGAACTCAAATGTTGAGAGTTATCCATTTAAAATGGCATCATCGTCCTCACACGAGCAGTTTGTCTCTGAGACTAGAGAGAGGAACAGCTTATATGGAGATTTATGCCCTTCACATTGCATTTTTAGTGCTAGATATTTGCAACACTGAACTGGCTATAAAAAGAGACAGAAAAGCAAATTATCCTTGTAAGTGGATAGGAAGTTAAAGCCTGTATAAAGTTACTACATTCAGCTAATAAAACTACACTTCTACTTATGTTGAATTTCACATGAAAAATTTATTTTTTTAATTTTTAAAATTTAAGTAATTTTTTTTTAAACTTTATACTGGTTTACTTACAAAGTCTGTATACATTGTTTTTCATACTGGATCTTTCCCATTAAAGTTTTTATCTTTTTATTATAAGCATATCCCAAAACATATTTGTATATTAATTCAACACAATAATAAAATTCTAAATAATAACATTTTAAAAAATAAATACAAGCTGGGAAAAAGGAGAAA